CCCCCGCCCTGCCATGGGCAGTTGAGCATGGCTCCCTAGGAACTGAGGGGCCCAGTATTTGCACCCAAATTTTTACCTTATGTAGGGCAGCCACTACAGCAGATGGCTCAAGCTGCACCCAGCAACGCCCCCACATCCAGGGAGAGCCAGGCAGGGCCAGGGGACAGCTCTGTGCTTGAGGAGAAGAGCAGAAGTGACCGGCCCTGGGCTGCAGAGGCAGGGCTGCACTCCCACCCGGCCCACCTGCTCTCAGTGCCATGCTGGGCCACAGCTGTGCTCTTCAGAAGGTTCCACCTGAGCAAAGGCCCTCCCAGGGGGGTGGGTCCAGCCTGGGCCCTGGTGGCCAGTCCTGCAGGCTTGCTCCCCCTGGGAAGCAGTGATAGAACGGGGCTGTCAGGAGGGGCGGACACCTCTGCCTGCTGTGTCCCCTGCTGGCTTCCCGTGTGTGGGGGTGTGTCTCATTCTGTTGCCCAGGCTGGTCTTGAACTCCTGTCTTCAAGCGACCCTCCTGCCTCGGCTTCCTAAATCACTGGGAATGCAGGCGTGAGCCACCGCATCCGCTACGTCTTAAAACTGCTTTCTAGCAGAGGAGAAAGGGCCCTCTGCATTTCCAGTCTGGAGAAAGCAAAGTGGGCCCTGGAGAGGGAGGTAGCGGAATTTGGCTTCCAAATGCTTCTACACCGCTGACCAGCTGCGTGGCCTTGGGTGGATGGCCGCCACCCCGAGCCTGTTCCTCGTCCCTCAAATGAGAATAGGATCAACTTGAGAATCAGACAGGGGGCCACTCTTTGTAAGCTGCAAGGTGCTCTCAGATGAAAAGGCTGCTGGTAGGGTCGTTATTGTATATTTATTTATTGTTAAGTAACAAAGTCGATTTCCAGTCATAATCTGAAAGCACCTCGGCCAAGATTCCTGAGGAAAATGCCTTTCTTCCTCCACCCCTGTACATTCCTGGAGCCGCAGCCATCCTCTCGGCAGACCACACCTTGCGTCCTGGTGAAATCACCTCCGGCTGCACCTCTCGCCCTGGTCTCACAGGAGTAGGTGTCTTGAGCCCATCAACTGGAAGGGGCCTGTTACGAGGGGCTGCCCGTGTCCAAAGCTGCCCCCCACCCTGGCGGCTGCACCCAATGGTGCCATAGATGCCTGCCAACGGAGTGCAGAGAGCACCCGAGACCCCGCCATCCAAAGTCCCTTGCTTAAGGCACCAATGCCTCTGCACCCAGGTGAGTGCCGAAATTCCCTTCTAGCATGGCCTGTGGCCAAACCCCAGAGAACTACAAAAAGGTGAACCAACCGCAGTGATGGGCCCCAGAGGTCATGCGCACACCTGCGGGTGGCTGGGAGACAGGGGAAGCAATACAGAGGCACCCTAAGGCAAGGGTTCTCATCCAGGGGTGATTTGGCCCCAGGGGACGTTTGGCAACACCTGGAGTCATCCTTCCACCTTTGATTGTCATCCCCAACCAAGTAGTGATGGGGACGTGACAGAGATTCTCTCCCTGGCCCAACTCAAGTTCCTCTGAGCTCTTTCCCAACTAGGCCCTGACTTTTGGGCTTCCAGGCTTGGCCAATCACGGTCCAATTATTTATTTATTTATATACTTACTTATTTAGAGTCAGGGTCTCACTCTGTTGCCCAGGCTGGAGTCCAGTGGTATGCTCACAGCTCATCACAGCCTCAACCTCTCGGACTCAGGTGATCCTTCTGCTTTTCTCTCGAGGACTGCGGGCACACACACCCATGCCTGGTTGATTTTTGTATTTGTTGTGGATATGAGGTCTCACTATGTTGCCCAGGTTGGTCTCAAACCCCTGGGCTCAAGTGCTCCTTCCTCCTCAGCCTCCCAAAGTGCTGGGATTACAGGTGTGAACCACCACTCCTGGCCTGGTATCTTTTTCTTACGTTTTACAGGGGAGAAAAACTAGACAAAGATGGGGAACAGCTGTGCCCAACCCCAAGGAGTTGGGCAGGATACAGTCTGGCCTCCAGAGGCTCGGTAAGTGTAATGGAAAAGGTCCAGAACATCTGGTTTTGAGTTCTGGTTCACAGTTCATTGGCTATATGGTGTTAGGTGGATTCCCGCCCCAAGGCTCAGTTTAGTTACCTGGAAAAATGTATGCACAGAGGTCCTGTCCTCCCAGTGGTGCTGAGAGGCCTCTGTAAGAAACTGTGCATGGAACT